TGAATATATCTGAAATATTTCTCACAGCGCCATCTAGTCCCAAATTATGCAGAGCTTGTACTATAGGAACTAAACAACTGGCGGAAATACTTTTGTTTTTGTAAATACATATATAATGTACATAGAAAGTACATATAAATAAATAAATAGAAAACAACGCAGACCTATACATACAATCATACTCAAAAATACAAATGTTGGTATCGTGCGAGGAATCGAACCCGCAACTATCGGGCTAGAAAATGACGTTGTTTTCTATTTATTTATTTATATGTACTTTCTATGTACATTATATATGTATTTACAAAAACAAAAGTATTTCCGCCAGTTGTTTAGTTCCTATAGTACAAGCTCTGCATAATTTGGGACTAGATGGCGCTGTGGGAATTATTTCAGATATACATAAACGGGTCCAGATTAATAAATTCATGAATATATGTGTATAAAGTACAGCCAATTTGGTGGTCCTAGGGATTTAGCACACTGCCCTACTAACCATGGTCGCAGGTTCGATTCCCCGCACGACACAAACATTCATTACATGTATTCGTGACTACGATTGTTTGTATCGGTTTGGTTGTTTTCTATGTACAATATGTATGTATTTACAAAAAATAAATCTATGTATTTTTATCAGTTATCTAGTGCCTATAACACAAGCTTTAGCTAACTTATCTTGGATGTAGATGGCGCTGTGTGAATTGTCCTGAGATTATAATTAATTTATATTACGGACTAATTCTGCGATGAAGGAAACACCGCTAACAAATCGAGACAGTAACAATCATGATGGTATGTGTCAAATTATTTAGCACTAGTTTTAATTTGAACTTCATCATTACATAGTATAAAACAAAGTCGCTGTCGCTGTCTGTCCCTCCCTATGTGTGCTTAAATCTTTAAAACTACGCAACGGATTTTGAAGCGGTTTTTTTTAATAGACAGTGTGATTCAAGAGGACGGTTTATATGTATCATACATGTACTCCCGGGTGAAGCCAGGGCGAGTAGCTAGTATATTATATAATAATGGCATCATATAGCTATTCCTACATTCGTATACAATAAAATGACGGTCTAATTGTACAATTATGACCATAATAACGCACATTACAACACTAACAATAGGACCCTACGGTTTTTTAATTAAAACTTTGCATTGCGAGCCCTGAGAAGCTACAATCAGCATAACAGGGCTGTCAACCGATACATGTACGATGCTCATACAGTTACGATATTTTTACAGAACGTAGTAGTAAGTTTTTCCAGTACGATGTATGAACAACATGGTTTTGTACAAAAGTGTACGAGGTTTTGATCAATTGATATTTGTTAGTAAATTAATAGTATTCAGCGGTGTTGTCCTTGTTTATATAATTGAAATGGCAAAGCCCGCGTGATGGTGAGTGGTAACCGTTGCCTATATTAATGAACAGCTCTACGCATCATGAGCCACGTGATACCAATTGTTATATACGTGTTATATATAGAACAATAATTTGTAACCATTTTAATACAAGTGTGTAATAACCATTACAGTAATCTAGGCTGCACCGTCAGCTACAAAATTCTTCCACGTGCAGTTTCGCTGACGATGCAGCACTTTCCTATTAAATTAAAATTTATATTTCGACAGAATTACAAGAATCGGTCTCCATACATCGCTGTAGTAATTAATATTTTTTTTTTAATTTTATTTATAACACAGGGGACAAACGAGCATGCGTCTCACCTGATGGTAAGTGATTACCGCCGCCCATGAGCACCCGCAACACCAGGGGAATTGCAAGTACGTTGTCGGCCTTTTAAAAAGGAATAAGCTCTTTTCTTGAAGGTTTCAATATCGTATCGGTTCGGAAATACCATTGCTGGAAGGTGATTCCATAATGTGGTTGTGCGAGGCAAAAAGTTTCTAGAAAACCGCACTGTGGAAGACCGCCATTCATCCAGATGATCAGGATGGTATTTCAGTTTCTGGCGGGTAGTACGGTGGTGAAACTCAGCAGCTGGTATTAATCCGAACAATTCCTCAGAACACTCCCCGTGATGTATGCGGTAGAAGATGCACAGAGATGCAATATCAATTAATAAATATTTTTATAAGAAAATTATATTTTTTTAACAGTCCTCCTCGGCTGTGATATAATTCACTCATGCATTGATATTTCGATTGATAAAGATGTCATTGCTCTTATTTTGTAAACTTACAAAAGAAGTTTTTTTTTCGGAGTACTCTAATGCTGTTGGCCGCAGCTGGCCTTTACAGCTTCATCGGACGATAGAGGGCGAGTGCAGATGGCACTCCAAACTCGCGGAAGGATTTATAGAGCGGATGAAGGCCAACCGCCTGATGGATACGACTTTAGTCTGAGGGCACCGATAGGGGTTCGAACCTCGGCTTTGGGCGTCGTAATATCGAACCCCGTTTGAATTGGACGGAACAGAAGAAGCTGAAAAAGTGTGTAAAATCGTTTTAAATCACGTGAAAAGTATTGGTTTTATAAAGTCTATAGCTATATGGTAATATGTAATAATTGTAACTGATTTGGTAACCACACAAAGTTATGTTTGCGTGCCCTAACAGGGTCCATAATGATCTATAATAACCAATTATGAAAATCTTTCATTGTAATATTATGGAATGCAATATTGAGTATTGTGTAGTCAAAATAATAAAGTGTACGAAATTTTGTATCGTTGTGTACGAGGTAAAATTCTTTTAGGTGACAACCCTTGAGTTATATGTAATGTATGTGATTATGTTTTTGCCTGTATTTCTGTGAGGTTACCGCATAGTGAGGTTATGTCAGTGAGAGCGACGCGGCCTAGTGATTTACTACCCCGTCTTATAACGGTTTTCAGTTCGAATCTAGATGACACCAAAAACTTTAAACAAAATCTGTTAGAGATATTGACACTATGGTCATTAGGTCCCTTTATAGGAAAAGAATGTGACGACCCGGGAATGAGAGGGGAGTAATATTTACGAGTACCTACTGAAATGTACTATATATACCTATCTATATATATTATAGTACCAGCTGTTACTGCGACTTCGTCTGCGTGGAATTTAACTTTATTTTTTTAAATAAAAGTAGCCTAAGTTACTCCTTATTACATCAGCTACCTGCCAAAAAAAGTCCCGTCATAATCGGTCCAGCCATTTCAGAGATTATCCGGATCAAACAGTCAGACAGACAGATAAATATTGTAAAAATGTTTTTTGTGTATGTACCGTATTTATATTCATATGCGTGTGGTAAAAAACTGTTATTTAAACATTACAAACAGACACTCCAATTTTATTTATATGTATAGATGTATAGATTTCAATCAAGGTTTATGACTCTGTTTAAGATCCTTGTTTTATAGTGAAGTACCTATTTACCTACTTGAACAGTAATTAAAGTGTAGATGGTAATTGTACTGTTGCTAAAAATTAAAATACCAAGTTTCACTACCACAGTAAAACAGTTAGGTAGTAAAATTATTTAATCACTATCTGTGCCCGCGGTTTTACCTGCATCATATTTAGTATAAATATGAATTTGCTGCAAACACATTGTTTTATTTCCATGAAATAACTTCATTATCATTAATATTTATAACGTGTAATCATATAATATTGTCAGTGCTATGAATAAGTTTTTCTATAAAAACATTATTATCGTTAACGAATTCTTCAATTTTATAGTAAGCTTGTTTGCAATGGAACTGTTTTATTTGACATTTAAATCTTTTTTCTGGCAGATTTATAACAGAGTCTGTTCGCTTATATCTTGTAAATCACGGAACAAATTTTAATGCAGTTTTCAGCAACACATAGAGTGATTCAAGAGGAAGGTTTATATGTATAATACATGCGTGTTATAGAACAGAACAAGCTGAGAAATTTAAAGATTTGTAAACATCCGGAACGGGTTGCCAGTACTGGATAAAGGGTAGAGAAATATGCCATAAGGCCAAGCCTATGGTTTATGTACTTTTCTTATTTTATACCAGCTGTGACCGCGACTTCGTCTGCATGGAATAGTAAACTTGGACAGCATAAAATATTTAATAATCTTACCAAATAAAGTCAAAGATAGTAAAGTTTTAGATACATACTTTCATCCCCTATTTTATTTTACTCCCTTAAGGGAGAATTTTTTACAAACTTTGAATGTCATATTTATTTACATCTAATCAACCAAGCCTGTAACTTGCGTCTTTTTTATTTGATATAATCTAGATCAGAGGACCTTCCCCTATGAAATGTGCTAACCAATTAACCGTTGTTAGGTAACAGTCCTCAATTAAAAACGTAACATTAATAGCGTTACGGTTATTTCAATTACATTTATGTGTATTAGAGGTTCTCACGCTCTCGTTTTCAATAAGTTTTTGCGTCTTTCGACACACCGTTTCTATTAATGTCTAAAATAAATGATATGTGAACTTTATATGCACATTGTTTTATGGTAACTATATTTATTTTTTTGTTGCTATATATCTGTGTTGCCATTTTAAAGATCGATTATAATTAAGCAGTTTCATTTTTTCTATGCTCGTGTGGTTTATGCTCTAAAAGAACAAAACTGTGTGAAATATCATTCAGTATAATGATATTAAAAAATGATATTTAGAAGTATTCACTATAATATATATATATGTTACTTAATACAAAATTGTTTTAAGTTCAATATAAATTTTACAGTTGAAAGATTTTTGATCTGTGCTTCTTTATATATTAAAAAAAAAGTAGATGTAAAGTATCTTCAATTCAAATTCAAATTCAAAAATCGTTTATACATATACGACTTTTTACCAAGTTATGAACGTCATTTTTTTATATTATAGTTGTTTCCATACCTTCCAGTTCAGTATGTAGATCCAATTGAGAAAAATTGAGAAAAAATCGAATAAAAATCTTGATTTCGAGGTTGTTATTTTTTGCAGCCAGTACTTTTTTTTTTAAGTTCTAATAATACCTGAAATCTAATAATAATAACTGAATAATACCTTAGATACAGGCTCGTCACTCCACCCGCCGCTATTCGCCATGCCTTCCAAAAGCGTCAATTCGCTGTAACAATAAAAATAAATACATTTTAATGGATTTAACAAATCGTCTCTGACTTTAACAGTAGGAATAAGTTAGAAATTAGTATAATAACTATAGTTATAGTATGTCTTGATAGTTTTTAGTTCTTTTAATACCTTAAAAAGATTAATACCTTAATCTTTTCCATACTTAATAGGAAAACAGAATATTAATGTTAATTTCAAAGTTGTACATTATTAAATGCAATTTTAGCATTATTGCATACACTTTCTTGCTCGTTCTTCTTGTGATGAGACAGCTTTCCGAACGAGTGGTGGATAAAAAACAAATTGTTATGACTATTTTTTTTATTGGGTTGTTTGGGCTATTGTCAGATGTTTGTAGCACCTGTAGCACTGCGACCTACATAGATCTATTGTGCTCGCCCTTTTTCAAAGTTCGCTACCTAGACCCGTCAGGGACAAGAATTGAAGGATATTCTTAGGAGCGATGGTTTTTATCTCCTCGGGAAAGAGTGTAAACTTTCCAAAGGAGATATTTCGTTTATGCATGAGTGGGCTACAACCAGATAGGATGTGAAGCGGCGTTTCCTCTTCAGTTTGGCAGAATCTGCAGATTCTTGTCGTGCATAGGCCTGGTTTAGGCAATGCTTGTTTAATTTGCAGTGTCCTGTGAGGGCCCTAGTCATCATGTTGTTTTTACTCAATAGCAGTATTCAAAAGTGCTTAAATTAAGTTTATTTGAATAAATGATTTTCTATTCTATTCTATTGCTTCAATTTATTACAAACTACTTTAAAATTAGAATAATCGTCGTCTTTCTCGTATTGTAAATAATATGACTAGCTACCAAAGATTACATAAAAAAGTATCAGATACTACGTATGTTTGTTGATATCACTACAATAGGTACATAGGTTGGTAATATTTTTTTTCAGGACACACAGTGCCATCTAGACCTAAATTAAGCTAGCTAAAACTTGTATTGTGGGTACTAGTTAATATATAAATATTTTTTTTTGTAAATACATACATATTATACGTAGAAAACACCCAGACCGATACAAACAATCATACTCATGAATACAAATGTTTGTGCCGTGCGAGGAATTGAACCTGCGCCCATCGGAAGTAAGGCGGTAAACCGCTAGACCACCGAGTAATTCAGGTCGCTAGGGAACTATTTGTGGTTCTATAAGATAATTTTACATGTTCAGAACATACATATGTCAGTATCACTCCATTCGGTTAAATTCGCATTATTATAGGACATTGGTTATAATATCGCAATAGAGCATAGACAAAACCGCAGTCAGTTAAAAAACAAAGGTGACATTGTCACAATATGGAAATTACTAAGCTCGACGATTTTTTACCATTCAATTTCATCATGACACACTTTTCATTGGAGCAGAAATTTATAATAATATTACAATGAGCGATGGTGGAAAATATAGATTTCCATTCCACTATTTGCCAAGATATGACTATCTTAAACTGACCTCTGCGTACTTAGTATTTTACTACATCTTGAGGTCCCTTCGATGAAATATTAATGGTTGTTGTTTTGTTGAAAGTGGGCCTCTAATCGATCAGTAACGGGGTAATAATTTGCATAGTCTATGGTTCAGTTAAGTTAATTAAAAATATATATATAGTTTAGAATTTCGTTAATGCTAGAGGTTTTTTGTAACGGATGACAGGAATTGAGCATCCGCCAGCGCTGGCGTGCCCACTAGTGCCCACTAGTGGAATATGATAAGAGAAGATGAGGAGTTACCATATAGTGGCAAATTGATCAGGAATTTCATCGCTTAAAGGAAAACCTGACATTACCATGAATTATAGATAAGCCTCATTAATTTTTGGAGTTTGTTTTTTGTTTTTTTCGGCATATATATATATTTTCGCGTGTTATATATTATATATACATATGAATATGACGTAGATAGACACACATATAGATGCAATTTAAAATTAAAATTATGAAAAAAAAAATTTAATTTTAAATTACATCAATAATAATAATAATATTATTATTATTATATATCAAATATAGGCTAGTATAATAGGCTGCCATCTTAAATACCTGTCGTACAGTCTGAAAATTTCTCGAAATCTATGAAAAGGATAAAACACCAGTCACACCAGGCACACAATAAGTACACACACACTCACACATACATACACGCGCACACACACATAAACACATTCTGCACTTACTTCTCTTCACATCTTACTCAGCAAAAGCTGAGAAAAAATAAATAAATAAATAATAATAATAATAATAATAATAATCACATGACAATTCACACAGCGCCATCTAGACCCAAGTTAAGATAGCTAAAACTTGTGTTATGGGTACTAGATAACTGATACATATACATAGATATTTTTTTGTAAATATATACATATTACACATAGAAAACACCCAGACCGATACAAACAATCATACTCATGAATACAAATGTTTGTGTCGTGAGAGGAATCGAACCCGCGACCATCGGTCGTAAAGCGGTGTGCTAGACCGCTAGACCACCGAGGTCAATAAAACGTCGCTATCGATTACTAAATATTTCCGCTTGTGATTTACTCGCGTGAATCGATATTACGAATAGATTATATAAAAAAATAGTGTTAAGAAAGCGACCACGTGTTAGATAATAAACACCATAACACGATTCCGTATAAAATATTTCCATTCGATATCATTTAAAGTGATTTGTATAACGTTTTGTTTCTGTGTCGTGTTAGTGAAAATTATTATCTTTTCTAAGATCTTTGTATCCTGTACTTCTTATATAAATAAGTTCAAACTTTCAAATTTCGAAATTTGAAAGTTTGAACTTTGAATTTGTTTATGTGTCATTTTGTTTTACTTATTATTAATTATTTTAAGTAGTGTTTCTCAAATCATTAAAACTGATTAATGTGCTCTTTCTTTCCTTCCTTCTTTATTTCTTTATAAAATGTACTATTAACAAATCTGTGGTCGGGGGGATTTGTAAGGGAGGTTAATAATGTGGATTAATAATCCTATTGCTAGCAATGTACTATATCAGGTTGACCTCCACGCGGTTCCCTCTAGTGAATTTGCCACGATGGCCTAACTGACCTGACCTCATGCTCTTATGATACTCCACTGGTGCTCCGCCAGCGTATACCGTCAGCGCAGGCGGGTGAACCATTCCATAATCATCCAATAGATAAAAAATATTAAACAGATATGTTCTGTGGTGTTTATTACTAATCTATGGTGTTATTTGCAACAAATCGTAATAGAAACAATTTGTTTTCTACATAGAAAGTTAATGATAAGGAAAATGCATGAAAATTTCATAACATAAATCTGACTGCAAAGTTTCTACTGTGCATTTTCTAATGTTATTTAATAACTGAATTATTCATAGGTCCATAAAGGTACTTAATATTGAAATGGATTTCAACTTATTTGCAATTGGATAATATCGGAACGTGCATAAACTCGCGTGTTCACAGTTTTACTGCTGAGTAGACAGTAGGAAATTTATAATACACTAGCTGTACCCGCGACTTCGTCCGCGTGGAATTTAACATTATTTTTCTAAAATAAAAGTAGCCTATGATACTCCTTATTACACCAGCTACATGTCAAAAAAAGTCCCGTCAAAATCGGTCTAGCCATTTTAGAGATTAGCCGGAACTAACAGACAGACAGATCGACCAAAAATTGTAAAAGATGTTATTTTGGTGGTTTAATAAAATTGGAGTGTCTGTTTGTAATATTGATATAACCTTTTTTTTACTACATGTATATGAATATAAATATTTTGGTGTATGTACCGCATACACCAAAATAACACTTTTAAGAATGTTTGTCTGTCTGTCTGTCGTTCTGTTTGTTCCGGCTAATCTCTGAAATGGCTGGACCGATTTTGACGGAACTTTTTTTGTCATGTAGCTGGTGTAATAAGGAGTAACTTAGACTACTTTTATTTTCGAAAAATAATGTTATATTCCACGCGGACGAAGTTGCGGGTACAGCTAGTATAATATAAAATCAACATGTTTTATTCAGATATTTCATATTATATTTTATGTAATGCTTCAATCTGATATTGAAATATCTAATATCACAAATATTTCAATATCAGATTGAACCCGCAATTCATTCATTCATTCAATGATACTTTCCTATAATTTTCTTAAAATGATCTTAGACAAACAAAGCCGGCAGCGACAAACGGTACAGTTGGATTAATAAAAAGCGGTGTACGATGTACGATGGTAGGAATGGTAGCAAAACGTGATTGCTTCAGGGCCTAACAGTATCAAGTTACCTTCAAAGGTAGGTAACTATGATATTGTAGAGCAACTGATGTTGAATTAAATAATTTAATTGTATATTTTTTATACATCACTAGCAGACCACGTTGGTTTGCTATATAAATTGAAGTTTTAATCTAATATATAAAATTCTCGTATCACAGTTTTCGTTCCCACAAGTTTCTGCTCGTTCTTCCGAAACGTTATGACTATTCAAAAGTGCTTAAATTAAGTTTATTTGAATAATTGACCGATTCTCATGAAATTTTGTGAGCGTATTGAGTAGGTCTGAGAACCGGCCAACATCTATTTTTCATCCCCCTAAATGTTAGGGGTAGTCCACCCCTAATTTTTTATTTATTTTAAGGCAAAACAACGTTTGCCGGGACAGCTAGTATCGCTATAAAAATTAGGAATTAGTGGTTGAAGGGTGAAAATATATTTTGTATTGTATGCAACATCATAATTTTTTTTTTGGGGTGGGCCACCCTTATCTGTTAGAAGTATAAAAATAGATAATATATTCTCAGACCAGGCCACAGATACATATAGATATATAATTAAAATTAACCGATTTTGATGAAAATATATATAGCACATAAAATTACATCAAAATCAGTTAAGCCATTACGAAGAAGTGTGGTAATTAACACTGACAATTTTATATTTTATATGTGTGACAATTTATATACATACTAGCTGCCCACCTCGGCCTCG